TCATTGTACTGGCTTACCCACGGATTACCATTTCCTGGACTATCACCGACTCGAGACGGGTGGGAAGTCAAACCCTGATCGAATGGGGGACTTTGACTTTTGCCTCCCCGAATCTCGGACATTGCTACGACATTCCCTCGTACCCCGGCTAACTGACGACGAGTATTGGGAACTCTTCATCCGAGACCAAACCCTACACCGAATTGGGTCAGCCGCAGTCACCCTCGACCATTCTTACTACCGCCTCACCTGCAAGAACGGGACCCATTTCCTTTCGGCAACGGGGAACTCTTGAGGAACCCAAATTGGACCGAAATCGAGAAAGGGGGGGCTGCACCATCCTACACCGACGCAACCAATCCCTCCGACAATTTGATTTTCGGATTCCAATGTCTCCTCATGACCCCAGAACCCCGAAAACCCCAGCTACAAGGACTTTGCGTAAGGAAGTTCTGCTGCCTTTGGAACCTCGGAGTTACCCACGACTGGAGAGGGGCAGAATATCTAGAGGGTTGGTACCATCCAGCACATCCCTCACGCTCCCCCACGTGGGATAACGTTGGACCTTTGCGATGTGGGGGCATAGCCAAAGACAGACGCCTCCTAAATACCACCGACCCCCTTCATCCACTCGGCACAGCACCACGAAAACTCGGCGCGGACCCGTCCATCCCAGGAGAGGATCTCCTTTCCTCCTGGGAACAGAACTCTTATATTAAACTCATCGGCCAGGTAGCCAAGGAGGCACCCTACCCTGAATGCTGGATCTGCGCCCATGCGCCCAGCCACCTTCAACAGAGCCTTCCCCTCGTTCCAGTCCCGGTTACCATAGAACAATTCCGGTCAGGGGACGTCGCCTCCTGGAACCTGACCGCGTTGAACTTGACCCACCAATACCTTTACCTCACTGGCCCGACTAAGGGTCCACTCTGCCGCACCTTCGCCGGGGAAGGGACCTTCATCGGCTCCAGTACCTGTACGTCCAACTTAGAACTCTTATCCACCGGCCATGTCACCATCACGGACGTGACCGGATCCCGGACCTTCCCAAACATCACCCTTGCTTGGGCCGCTGTCATCGGCCACCCTCCAAACTGGCAGCCTCAACCCGCCGACGCTATGCTACTGCAAGCCTTCGCCTCAGGAAGAATGGAGTCGTATCTCAGCGGCTTGTTTTGGGTATGCGGTCATCGCGCATATACCTGGGTGAGCCCCCATATGTCCGGATCCTGCTTTGTCGGGTACATCGTTCCCGGCATAAGAGTAGTGCCACATCTACCCCCTGGAAGACAGAGAAATAAAAGGGAAGAAAAACAACTGTCCGACTTATCCGATGTCGCTGCAAACGGGGAAACCGTGGGTCGAGCACTCTTTCCTGCCTACGGAGCAGGATCCAACCACGTCGACATCCTTCGGCTTACTGACATCCTCCTCAAATTCATGCAGGAGGCAACTGAGATCACGGACTCCCTGATGTCAGAACTGTCTGAGGTGAGACAGCTAAGTTTACAGACGAGGATCGCTACGGACTTTCTGCTGTCTAGCCAAGGAGGAACGTGCGCCTTAATAGGTACCGAGTGCTGCACATATGTAACGGACCAGACTTTAAACATTACTGGACACTTGAATAACATCCACGAACTAGCAGGGAGACTAAACGAGATACAACACGAGGGACTGTCTGACGTCGACTTGTGGGGATGGCTGCCCAAGCTGGGGTGGCTCCGACAATTGATCAAGGTCATATTACTCACAATTCTTACTGTTGCCTTTTGTATCTCAGTGTTCTGTTGTGCCATACATTGTGTCTCTCCTTGCTGCTCTCTTCTCCGCTTCCCTGCTCAATCTGCTCCTCTTTCCTTTCGAGCCTATTCCCGCTCCCACAACGCTCCTATCTTTCCTGAATATGTACAAATGAGACACCTGGGAGAAGGGGAGTATGAAATCACAGGGGTATAGGATGCGGAGAAAGGATTTGCAAGTTCTTACAGAACTTTAATGCAAATCTATCTCCGAATGGGGGACTGATACGGAAGGAGAAGGGGGGGCAACCATCCTCCCTCCATCGCTTCCTGGACGGGCCCGAGGCGATGACCTCGACAGTGCCCAACTCTGCCTAGAACCCTCAGCCCCCACATCGTTGCACAAGCACCACACTATACCCCTGCCTTGTTAATAAAAGGCTCCTTTTCCTTTCTCTATACGGGCGAAATAAGCCCCGATCTTGTCTATGCCTTCCTCTCGCCCTATTCTTAACGTGAGTAGACCGCATCATAATGGAACTCCATTCACTATACTGAGCCCCGCTTTAGCCAATCACAGCCATGCATTCGCCCTGCAGGAGCTAGCTCAGGGAGCTACTGCACGCCTCATTTCACTCCTGACAAGCTGCTGACGGCCCCCCACTGCGAGAACAATGGATCCGAAACCAGGGACCTCGTAAAACTGTCAAAATCCGGTTACAATGTATCCATTCTGTTTCCGTTTGTCAGAATCTTGTTACAATGTATCCATTCTGTTTCTGCTATTGCCCTATAGTACGGAATGGGTTTGAAATCATTGAAATCTTTAGAAATTGATATAAAATCAACCGTAACTCCGATTTCCTCACTTTTGGTGTCATTCAACTCAGCTCCCCTTGGACTCCATGATGCTGTCCCTACTGCCATAATCCCCAAAGCGGCAGGTCACGTACACAGGAACTTCTAAATCCTGTCAGATCGTTTCGCCAAACCCTTCCTCTGGGCAATACGAAGTGGCAGACGATGCAAATCTCTAGCCCATTGTCTTGCCACCACCGGTACTCAATAAATGTTTATCTATGTACATTTCTTCGCTCTGCATATTCCCCCTCCCTCCTCCGAAATGCTAATGAATGTAACCCCACCTTTTCTTTATCTATTCATGACGTGTAAAATATATTCATGATGTAACTCGCGAAGCCCAACCTTCCCAAAATATATTCATGACGTTTCCTGCACTGTATTCTGGGTTATGGAGGGAACTTTTAAAAGTTTATGTCACCCCACTCTCGGGGTTCAATGCCAGTTTGAACCTGTTGCGCAATAAACTTTGGGTCTCCGCAGTTTGCTCCTGTGTCCGGCTGAGCTTACTTTTCCCGCTAGGACCCGCGGACTTAGTCCGACGAGCTGGGTGGCAGGGCAACTCCGTACCCAGATTTTAGCCGTAACAGTCCTCATATCCAGAGGCCTCCTAAGCAGCCACAGTTTGAAATCCATTAATTCATGTAATTCCCTCAGGCGCCCATGAGGGGTTTTAGGGGGGTCCCTGGCCAGAGGATGGCTTGGGGTTCCCCTCCTGCCTCAAACAGAAGATTCGGGGGCTTCTTCCGGTTTTCCTGGTCTTGCTTGGAAAAAGTCACATTTGCCTCTCTTTCTCCTCAGTTTCCCAATTCATTGGCCTAAGGAGCCCCTGAAATAAGCTCAGCAGAGATGAATTTTTCTGTACAATCTCTTCTTGTTGTTTGTTTGTTTAGTCATTTGTTTTATTGGTTTTATGTACAATCTTTACAACAGAGGACTTTACAACCAAAATAAACCTTTACAACAGAAAACTTTACAACCAAAAGAAACCCAGACAGAAGCAATAACATGACTCTCATGTTTTCCTTTGTACTAAATTCTTCTCAACTTTCCTTATTTTACTGTTACAGATATTATTTTACTGTTACTTATTTTACTGTTCATTAACTTCAATCTTCTTCTTTTAATTCCTTGTTCTTGACCTCCTAAATGGTGCATTTGTCCTCTACAGTTTTCCAATTACTGCCTTATACTTTCCTCCCTCTATACTTCCCTTCACCCATTTGCGATCTTCTCTGCATACCGTTGTGTTAACAGCTATTAAATTCGTTTTTCTGTTTGTATTGTAATGTTCTCTTGTATCCTTGCGTCCTTCAGGCTATTGCAGGTTAAATTTAAGCTCCGAAACCAAACCAATATATCCCTGTATGCATTCCCATTCTTTGTAAGTTATTGGATTAGAGCAGCCTCTAATTGATGCCGTTAGTTTTGCCATCTCCGCAAATTCACAAATTTTAGCTGGCCATTCTAGTAATTCAGGTATTTTTTTCTGGTTGTTTTCTTTTCTTTTCTTTTTTTTGCCACTACTATTCTGGCCGCTGCTGTTGCATACAGGAATACGTTCCTTTTTGTCCATTTTCTGTACAATCTCATGCAACCAGAAAACTGTAGAGTTGGAAGGCCCTGCAATGCAGAAATCTCAACTAAAGCATCCAGGACAGAGGGCCATCCTCTTCTTCTTTGCTGATCCCTCATAGTAAGATTGTCTTCCATGAACACGGTCTTAACAGTGAGTCCGTAAGTGACTGTGGAGGCCAATTCTGGATCCACACATCCTTCCACATTAGGGACATTGGTTTCCAGGTGGGAGTTTATCACGGTGTGGATTTGCCAAGCGTGCCTTCCTCTTAGCACGTTTCTCCCTTGTGTCCTGAGTTCGAGTGTCTTCAAAGCCCAGGACACCTTTGGTCAAGGCTGTTCTCCAACTGATGCGCTCGCAGGCCAGTGTTTCCCAGTTGTCAGTGTTTATACTACATTTTAAAAATATTTGCCTTGAGAAAGTCTTTAAAGATCTCTTTTGTATTTTGCTTTCCATTCTCGAGTTGGGAATAGAGTAGTTGCTTTGAGAGGTTGTGGGCTCTCCTTCCTTGGAGGTTTTTCAGCAGAGGTTGGATGGGTGTCTGTCATGGATCCTTTCGTTAAAAGTCCTGTATTTGCAGGGGGCTGGACTCAGAGTCACTTCCAACTCTCAAGTTCTAGAATTCTTTTCTTCTTTTTTGACAAAGTAGTAATCATAAACAAATCAGAATAAAATGTGCAACCCCACCACCGAGATCATTCCACTGTAACTATTCAGCCTCCCAAAATTTCAACACTTCTTGCAATGGTTTGACCCCTTTCCATTTAAACAATACAAATTCTACAAACACCCTCCATACCGCCTCAAAATCATTTCTTATATTCCCTGTCTTACCTTAACAGCACATGTTAATTTATCATTCATAGCTATACCCCACACCTCTTTATCCCATTCTTCCATTTTATATGCTGCTTGCCCCATTCACTTCCTAGCTAGAATAATTTTTGTCAGTAAATTTGTGAGTCCTTCATACCCCGTGAACCTGCTGCCCCACTGGGGTGGAAAATTCTAGAAATTTGGATTCTATGGGCCACACTAAACAGGCTGAGCCTTCGGTGACTGGGTGTAGCAGAGGTGCATGTATAAAATCTACTTTTCACAGCCCCAGAGTCAGAGGAAGTGGGAGAAAGGCTATGAATAAGACAAGACGTGTGACGGCGGTCAAGAGCTGTTGGCCACAGGCCAGACCACAAGCATTTACAACATGCTTTGCATCAAATAAGCTGACATTTGGGGGGGTGAAGAGGGTGGAGGACTTGCTTACAGACTTGTGTATATATATATATAGATATAAAATCACATTGTCAGAGGCAAATGTTTGAAGCTTTCTTATTCCAGGAACTTAGGCTGGGTACAGATTTATACCTTCAAATCACATTTGAAGAACATTCCTTCCAAGAATTCAGGGCGCTGTAATTTGCTAAGGGTTTCCTCAGGTTTGTGACTCTGTGAGAGGGGAAGGGAATAATTTGAGGCAGATTGTCCGGGATTTCTCAGTCAGGGACATGCAAGCCATGGTTAATGGGAAGAGAGGAATGAAATGAGAAGTGAAATTAGGAAGTGGAGAAAGATTGCCAGCCTTGCCTCTTTTCCCGTGAAAAAGGCATTGGCTTCAAGGACACTTTTTTCAAGCCCTCCCTCTGCTTCTCCTCCACGTCACCACTTCTTGCTCTTTACGTGTCACAGAGCTGCCCCCAAAAAAACCTGTTTCCAAAAATAAGCACAAAAGAGAAAGCGAGGACCACAAGCCAGCATGAGGACTGTTTCATCCTGTGCAAAATAGCTGCGCCTCCATCCGGTGTGCCGCTGTGTGTATTGTGCTTGATAACTGTAAATGAGTGTTTGTGTTTTTCAAAGATCTTTTGTCATCCCCCATTGACTTTAAAAAGCCCCAACTTCCCTATGTTCCCTATGGTAGGTGCTAACGTGCTCAGCATTTTATCAGTTACCCAATTTCTCTCAGCTTCCACATTTGCATTTGAGAGTGGCCATGACAGCTTCTGCAGAGCTGCTCAGTGCTGCAAGGCATGCTGGGAACTCTTCTTGAGGCCACGCTGGTGGTCAGCCCCGTTTGACACCAGTGGCGCACCCAGAATGCTCAGCAACGCCACTGTGTTTCTTCTCAGTGTGTTTGGAAAGAAGATTACTGTTGCAGATGCATCAGCTCAGTGTTGCTGCTGAAGCCGCTTCTTCTAAACTCAGACTTTGAAGCATGAAGCAAATTGGCCATCTCTTTGTCCTCCTGGGTAAGACCCTTTTCTTCTCCCCTCCAACCCCACTCTTTTCCTTCTTCTGGAGCCTCCTATCTACACTTCACTTCCCAGTTTCCACTGTCTGTGTTTACTCAAATCTTCTGCCTCTGTTCTCTGTGGAGCCAATATTGTGTAGTGGTTAAGAGTGGTGGACTCGTAACCTGGTGAATTGGGTTCGATTCCCTGCTCCTCCACATGCAGCTGCTGGGTGACCTTGGGCTAGTCATACTTCTTTGAAGTCTCTCAGCCCCACTCACCTCACAGAGTGTTTGTTGTGGGGGAGGAAGGGAAAGGAGAATGCTAGCCGCTTTGAGACTCCTTCGGGTAGTGATAAAGCAGGATATCAAATCCAAACTCTTCTTCTTCTTCTTCTGTTTCCGGGTGGGTCTTTAGGGAGGGATGAGCATGTCCCAGGCAAATCATTCACAGCATCCACACGATGTTACTGGCATGGGAAAGTTGGCTGTTTTTAACCTTTACCTTTCCTGAAAAAAACCCCAAAATAAAATCATAACCTCCAGAAATGCATCAAATTAGGGGGTATTTGCTTTGGGAGAAAAAAAATGTTTATGAGGCTATTTAGGAGTCCAGATTATGAAACTTGAAATGATGCCAAAAACGTGTTTTATATCTATATCTATAATCTAAGCATCACATTTTTCTCCTCTGTTCTCTTTCAGCCTCATTTTCGGCTCCTTCCTGGATGACGGCCCTTGCAGGTAATCCAGTTAATATAACTTCAAATACTGAGTGGTAGGGAGATACTGTCAGTGTGAACACATCATAAAATTTAGACGTGGATATATTGTTGTGGCTATTTGTTCCTTATTCTGTCCCTTATCTTGAAGTCCCAGACCTGAAGGGTGTGAATGGTGAGTCAAAGGGATCACCCACACTTCCCTTCATGCTCTGCTTTCTAAGCACAGGTCTGGGATTTCCAGGTCCAAATGGGTTTTGGGGGGGGGAGGGGAGAAGAGAGGAGAGAGAGATTTTCAAAATCTGATTTTGAGTTTAAGAGGCATTGGAATAAATGGTGGAGTGGGATGGGTTGGGACTGTCAATCCAAAGCAGTAATTGAAGTATTGTGGAAGGTTATAGGGATTCATGAATCATCTAATGCAATGGGGACATCCTAAGGGACTGGCCAAACTGTATTTTTATCGTATCTCCCTCTGTTTCTCAGATACTGTGACTGCACATCCATCAGGCCTTTGGCTGTCTCTTTCACCTCCACACAACACTTTTGCTCGAGGAGAATTGGCTTCATTAATATGCTCCCTCCCAGAAGGACAGAGGGCAACGGGGTTCTATTTCTATGCAAAGAGAGGAGGTGTACTAGTCATGTATGGACAACAGGCGGAAAATATCTTGGAGGTTTCCACAAAATACCTGGAAACAAACAAAACATTTGTCTGTGCTTACCTGGGGGGAAAGAGTTCAGGAGGACTCTTCCTGTCTTCGCTGAGTAACGAGGTTGTGCTGTCCATCACTGGTGAGAAACGTACTCTTTGTGACAGAATTGCATGCACGAAAGCTAAGCCATCTTGGGGATCGTGGTTCCTACTCTGCCCAAGCCGTTTTTTTCACATTGGTGGGGAAGGGGAGAAGGGAGGAGAGAGAGATTTTCAAAATCTGATTCTGAGTTTAAGAGGCATTGGAGTAAAGGATGGAATGGGCTAGTCAATCCCAAGCAGTAATCAAAGTTGAGCCATTTTGGTAGTTGTAACTGTGAGAGAGATCAAAGGAGCTCCGGCCAAGATCTCTCAGCATAGTCAGAAAACTGCCACAATCATAGTTCCTAGGGGAAGCCAACAGAGTACAATACTGAAGATTCAAGTCTGTCATGAAGATGAGCTTTAATGTGATGTAGCAAAGGGGCAGGTTTATTTTAAGCAGTTCTTCAGTCTTGGGGGGCACAGATATTGTTGCTGCTCTACAACTCCCATCATCCCCTGCCTGCTTGATGGCAGCTGTAGTTCAACAACATCTGGTGACCCAGTGTTGAAGAACTGTGTAAGCCTTTGCTTACGTGGCGGGAAACAACGCTTGAGGAATATTCTGGTCTTCACCAAGGTTGTCCTGTCGATCGCTGGTGAGGAACATTCTCTTTGTGAATGAATGATACACGCAAAGTCTAAACCTTCTGGGTGATTCTGCCCAAGCCATTCTGTTATTTTTAATTTGCCAGGTCCAAGGAAAACAAAGCAAGGTGCCTGAATACAGTCACAAAGTCACATCCTCCTGGTTCCTTAGGGAAGGCGAGAGAGCACAGGTGTTATAACATTGGTTTGTGTTTCTAATATAGCTGTATATTAAGGAGAGGTGCTGGAGGGATTGGTCTGGAAGTCACACGGTCTCAGATTATAGCCCTAATCTTATATATAGTGAATTCTCTGTCAAAGATTCTTAGACCCCCATCCAGAACACAAATCCCAACTGTTAGCTGAGAATAGGAACTAGTCTTATTCCATTTAAGTCTGTATCATTGCTATGCCCTGAATTCCTGGGAGACAGAAGTCCTTAAGAAGCTAGCCACAAAAACTTCTCTTCCTTTCTCTCTGCTCCTTCAACTTCCCTTTCAGACCTTCCTCGTGCTCCAGTTTTCTCTGTTTCTCCAAAGAAGGATGTCTATACAAGTGGGGAATCTGTGGAACTCAAGTGCTCATCTTCTGAAACCCGTAATTTATCAAGGACCCAGTTTTTCAGGGACCATCAGGATCTGCATTCAGTCAAGCCCTCCTCTCCCTCCTCTCTGAACAACGTCACACACACCCTACGCCTTGCTATTCAAGATGATGGAGATTACTCCTGCAGGTACCACATTGTGGAATCCGGGCGAGAGATCGCATCCAGAGAGAGCAACTCCATCAGGATTTCGGGTGAGGAGGTCTTTCTTTGCAATACAGATCTCTTGGAAGTTGAATTGGGAAGCTGGATTGAAACTGAGGAGTCTGGCTGGTCAAAGGAACAGGAGGGGAATTTTACTGATAGAATTTGAATATGTACAAAATTCAAATATCATCAGAAATTCTGTAGTCCTCCCAAAGTCCTATTTCCTTTTCTCATTAATCTGCTTGCTTATTGAGGGGGAGAGAGATTATAGGTCTACAACTCCCATCAGTTATCCACCAAGCAGTTTGATGGGTATTGCAGTCCAACAACATCTGGCAACCCATGGTTCAAACATGCTTGTTTAGGTGAGCTTATCTTGTGAAATTATGTTTGTCAAAAATTGATAGGTTTTGCTGAAAAGTTCCACCAGTTAATGGAATAGAATTATTGGAATGCTGTTCAGGTGATTATGATAGTGACCCCAAGGAAGTAGATTGTGGAAATCTGTGTGTAGCATTTGTTTAATGCAGGACTGAGAAGGACCAAGGCATTCTTGGCACTAAACAAGCATACCTTGAACCAACAACTCATTAAAAAAAATTGTGGATGAGGGACTACAAGAGGGAAGGGGCTGAATGGCATTTCCCCCTTGCACTTATTCCCTTTCCCCAATGCAGTTCTGCCTCCACCAGCTCCAGAGCTGTCCATCATCCCTCCAAGACAGACCTTTCTCCAGGGACAACGGATCACGTTGAAATGCTCCCACCCGGAAGGGCAGCTGGCAGCCAAGTTCTTCTTTTATGAAATGAAGGCAGAACGTGGGTGGACTAAACTCCAAGAACAGTTCGATAATACCCTGGAAATCACTGCAGAATTTCAGGAAATAAATAAATCATTTGTTTGTGCCTACATGGAAGAAAGCAGTGCAAGACAACTCTCTGTCCAGAGTAACCGCATTGAGTTTTCTATCACGGTGAGGAAAGTTCTGCTAGTTCATTAACTGAAGACTCAATAAGTTGTTTTCATCTTACTAAGGGCAATCCAGAAAATCTGGCATATTTATGTGGGTTGCTACCTTTTTCTTTTTCTTTTTACTTGTGGAAAGAAATCATATACCACTTATTCCCAACAAAATCTAAGCAATGTAGATAGTAAAGTTAACAATAAAACACAGATAGAATTGTTTTTTATATTAATGAGGAGAAAGGGTTTCTGTCTGTTTCTAAACTTAAGCCAGTTGGCTGCCACTGTTTTCTCACAAGAAATCTTGGCAATATTGATTTTATGGAGGTTATAGAGATTGCCAAATATGTTTCTCTGCATTCCCGCAAAACTTAAATTCCCTGCATTCTTCAGGGAGGATCTATGCTATTTAAACTGGGTGTTGTTTTTTAATCCCCTGAAGGTTGTGTGATATCATTAGGATGTCCAGCTCTCTAGGAAGGATTTCAAAAGAAAATGTTTTTGCTGAACTTGACCTCCTGTTCCACTCCATTAATGAGAGTCCTAAAAGAATTCATGTCTATTAAAGGTGTTTAATCATGGAAGATTGGAAGATACTATTTCTAGTCTGGGTTCAAGCCTGGTTTTGGAGGCTCAGTCATCTGAGTGACAAGGGTAATAATATTACCAGGTCCACCTGCTCTTTCGCAGCCTATTCTCTGTGATCCATGCACAGGTAACCTAAAAAGTGGATTACTCTAATGTTCTGCCCTCGGCATTGGTTCAGAAGCAGCAGCTAGTGAAGAATGCAGCAGCAAGGATGCTCAGGGGGGTACCTGACACCTGGGACAATTGTGGCCTATAAAGCTCTCAGCAGCTCAGGAGCTGGTAATCTGACGGACTGCCTGACTTCTCCCATTTATAGACCATCCATTATAGACCTCCCATTTATAGACCATCCACATTCTGAGGATGTGATTCTCCTCTTAACCATATCGCCTGCAAAGCTCCATCTGGTTGGGGGCTGCAGAGATCCTTTTCCATTCCTACCTACCGAATGCTCTCCCTGCTGAAATCAGGCAGGCAGAAACCGTGGGGTGAACTGAATACCTACCCCTTTGGCCTTCTCTGACCTTAATATTATACTAGCCGTTGTGATTATTTTACTGATGATTATTTTTCACAGATTTATTCTCTCCGATTATTTGTTATTATGTAGACTACTTTCTGCAAATGAAAAGCGGGGTAGAAATCCTTTAATGAAATGGAAGGAAACATACAGTATGTGTCAGTCTTAGAAAGGAAATTGTGAGAAAACAGAAAACCTTTCCCTTTTACGTTGTTCCCTAAATCTTTGGATGCTTCTCTCCCTCTGCTTCCTGTGGAACCCAGCGTCCTTCCCACCTGCTGAACTTTTTCAGCAACCACAGGAACCTGTTTACAGTCCAGGAGAACGGGTTACCTTGACCTGTTCAGCTCCTGAGGAAATGGACGTGGCAGGAGTCAGCTTCTACAAGGAACAACATGATCAGAACTACAAGGTGTTGCCAGATCAAGGAAGCGGCCCCTATGCAGCATTCCCTGTGAATAAAAATACTGCTGGAGTATACAGATGCCTATACTGGGTGCAGAATTCACGACAGATGATCCAGTCCCCAATGAGCTCTTCCGTCTCTGTAGTCATGACAGGTGAGAGAGTTTCTTCTGCATGCTGATGGAGGAGATCCAAAAGATCTCAATGTCTGGCAGGGAGTGGGGAACATGGGAAATGTCAGCCTGGTTATTTTACAAGGTGACAATCGTTTCTGATTTACAGTGGTACCCTGGTTGTCGAATGGCTTGGTTCCCAAACAAATCAGCTCCCAAATGCTGAAAACCTGGAAGTAAATCTTTCGGTTTTCAAACGTTTTTCGAAAGCCGAACGTCTGACGTGGCTTCCACTTGAGTGCAGGAAGCCACGCCTTGCTTTCTGAACAATTTCGGGAATCGAATGGACTTCCGGAACGGATTAAGTTCACGAACCAAGGTACCACTGTATAAGAAGAAGTGCCTTAAAATCTCAAACTGTATTGAACTTGGACGCTCTCATCTCATTAGTGGGGAATGGGCAGCTGTAGTTACTCAGACAAGGAAGAGGTTTTTCCTCTGCGCATCCTGACGTGCAAACTGAACTCGGAAGACATAAATGTGGAAGCATGGTTTGCAGAGGGACATCGTTCAGAAGGCAGGAGCTAGGAAATACTGGATGGGGAACAGCTAGGAGAAGTAACACTGGGAGAGAGAGGGTTAACAGATTCACAGTCTCTGGACAGCATTCCTCTGCTCAGCCCAAGGTCAAGATGAGCTCAGAAAGTGTCAGAACAGAAAGCACAGAGGGCACAAGCTCAGATTACAAGACATAGGAGTGACGGAAGGAGGTGTGATCCTTATTTGGGAGCACCGCCATTTCCAGGAGAGATGTGTTGTTTGTTCTCTCTCTGTGATCATTAAAGTTTATAACTGGTAAGAAGACTCCTTTTCCTTTGTCCTGCTTATCTACTGCCACAGGGGGAGGAAGCTGATTCCCTGAAGCTTGACAGGAATTCTCTGTTAGAGATTCCAAGACCCCACCCAGAGCTACAGATCCCAAGGTTTTACTGGAGGGGCTACAGTGGTACTTCGGGTTACAGACACTTCAGGTTACAGACTCCACTAACCCAGAAGTAGTACATCGGGTTAAGAACCTTACCTCAAGATGGGAACACAAATCGCGCGGCGGCAGCATGGCAGCAGCAGGAGGCCCCATTAGCTAAAGTGGTACCTCAGGTTAAGAACAGTTTCAGGTTAAGAATGGATCTCCAGAACAAATTAAGTTCTTAAACAGAGGTACCACTGTTTTGTTAAAATAATTAAACTGTAGATGGTTATGCTCCAAATTCCTGAAACAGAGGTGTTTAACAAACAAAGATTGTTATTCCTTTCTCTGTGCTCCTTCTACTTCCTTCTCAGAACACCTCGTCCCCCAGTCTTAACTGTTTCGCCAGAAAAGGATAGCTACAGAAGAGAGGAGTCCATAAAACTTAGATGTTCAGCTTATGAAAGCCGTGATGTATCAAAGATCCAGTTTTTTCAAGGACAAGAGGCAACTGCAATCATCAATGTCCCCTCCTCTCTGAACACCTTCACACACAAACAACTGCTTCTTCCTCAAGATGGTGGAGATTACTCCTGCAAGTACCACATTGTGGTTTCAGGCGAGAGTTCCCATCCAGAGAGAGCAACTCCATCAGGATTTTGGTACTGGGTGAGGAGGCCTTTCTTTGCAATATGGGTCTCTTGGAGGGGGAAATGGGAAGGTGGACTGAGTTTGGGGGAGGTTGGGCGGGCGAGGAATAGGGCCAATAATTTTGTTAGTAGAATATGTACAGAATTCGAAGCTCACCCATAATTTCATAGTCCTTCCAAACTCCCCTTTTCTTCTATTATTTATCAGCTTGCTTGTTTCTAGTCTGCCTTGGAAATGCATTGCCCCTTCCAGACCAACATTGAAGGAAACAGGGTGCCTGCCCCAAGGAGCATACAAGGGATGTCATCACATGGGGATCCCTTCTGACCTTGGGATTCTCTTTTATTCTCTCTGCAGATGAACCACTTTCCACAATGCCTACCTTTTCCACCCCGGACCAGGCTGTTCTGAGTTTTGCCTCCACAACCAGGCCACCTAGAACGTCAACACTGGCAACTTCTTCAACCAGCTCTTCTCGCTACATCGCCAGAACACCCTCAACACGCACAAAGCTCCTTGCATCAAGCACCTCCTGGTCCAGCTCTTCGCAGATGAGTCTGCATTATAGCACCTCAACCAGCAGCACCAATGCTCAGGAGAGCAGGAAATCATCCTCCTGCTGTGATCCCAAATCAATCACAGACCAAAAGAAGGATGATTCAGAAAAAGGTACGGCCCTCTCATGAGACTGTTATTTTTAAGAAAGGGACCCTGTCTCTTTCTTTCATTCATTCATTGTTTTATATTTGTATAAAATTGTGATTTTATAGGTTATAAGCCACCCTGAGTGCTGCAGTTGCAGTAGAAGGGAGCAAAATAAATAAATAAGGGTTGCACTGTAAATAACCCACCTGATTCAGCTCAGCGCAGAATATTATTTTCACCCTACGAAAATAAATGGAAACAGTGCTACTGCTGCCTGATTTGTTTGCTTTTGTACCATTATTATTTTTGTCTGGTGGTATTGTTTTTATATCTGATAGTACTGTATTGTTACTTTATCATGCGTGGCTATGTTTTAAATGATAAAATAGGAATTTTATGATGTTGCCATGCTTCCGTTTGAGAGGGTCGACCTGAAAGGCAGCCTATACCTACAGAATGCGGATGGTTGGAAAGAATAATATTTAGAAAGGAACAATCAATGGACCTTCAGAGACCAGGGAGGGAAGAGGAAGGGTGGAAGTTAGAATGGCCAAAGAGGGGAATATGTGGAGCAGCAAAGTTAATAGATACTAGCCAAGTCTTTGTTTTGTAACAATTGACTAGTTCTCTGACCAATAACCCCATTCTGATCAACAGCAATTCTCTTGCAGGTGGGGAAGGGGAGAAGGGAGGAGAGAGAGATTTTGTTTCAAAATCTGATTCTGAGTTAAGAGGATTAGAGTAAAGGATGGATGGCTGTCATCCCAAGCAGTAATAAAAGTTAAGAACATTTTGGTAGTTTGTACTGTGGAGAGATCAAAGGAGCTCGGCAAGATTTCCAGCATAGTCCCGAAAACTGCACACTCATAGTTTAGGGGAAGCACAGAGTACAATAGAAGATCAAGTCGTCATGAAGATGAAGCTTTAATGGATGTAGCAAAGGGCAGGTTTATTTTTAAGCAGTTATTCAGTTTGGGGGCAAGATATTGTTGCTGCTCTAACAAATCCCATCATCCTGCCTGCTTGATGCAGCTGTAGTTCAACAACATTGGGTGACCAGTGTTGAAGACTGTGTAAGTTTGCTTACGTGGGGGAAACAAGCTTGAGGAATATCTGGTTTTCACAGGTTGTCCTGCGATCGCTGGTGAGGAACATTCTCTTGTGAATGAATGATACACGCAAAGATCTAGAACTCTGGGTGATTCTGCAAGCATTCCCTGTTATTTTTGAAATGCCAGGTAAGGAAAACAAAGAAGGTGCCTGAATAAGTAAAGTCACATCCTCCTGGTTCCTTAGGGAAGCGAGAGAGAAGGGTGTATATAGAAAAGGGCTATATATATATCTAATTAAGCTGTATATGTTAGGAGAGGTGCTGGAGGATTGGTCGAAGTCACGTCTCAGATTAGCCATTTTTATAATGGAATTTTCTGTCAAAGATTTTAGATCCCATCAAACACAAACCAACTGTTTAGCTAGAAATAGGACTAGTCTATTCATTTAAGTCTGTATCATTGTATGCCTGAGATTCTGGGAGAAGAAGTCCTTTAAGAAGCAGCACAAAAATTCTCTTCCTTTCTCTCTTCTTCAACTTCCCTTTCAGACTCTCGTGCTCCAGTTTTCTTGTTTGCTCAAAGACAGGGATGTCTATTCAAGTGGGGAATCTGTGGAACTTACCAAGTGCTCATCTTCAATGAACCGTTAATTATCCAGGACCCAGTTTTTCATAGGACATCAGGATCTGCATTCAGTCAAGCTCTCTCCTTCTGCTCTGAAAACGTCACACACACCTACGCCTTGCTATTCAAGTATGATGGAGATTATCCTGCAGTACACTTGGGATCCAGGGACGAGAGATCGCATCCAGAGAGACACTCCATAGGATTTCGTGAGAGGTGTTTCTTTGGAATACAGATCTCTTGGAATTGATATGGGAAGCTGGATTGAAACTGAGGAGTCTGGCTGGTCAAAGGAACAGGAGGGGACATTTACTGATAGAATTTAAATATGTAGCAAATTCAAATTCATCAGAATTCGTAGTCTCCAAAGTCCTATTTCCCTTTATCTACTTAATTGCTTGCTTATTGAGGGGGAGAGAGATTTATAGGTTACAATCCATCAGTTATCACCAAGCAGTTTTGATGGTATTGCAGTCAAAACATTGGCACCCATGGTTCAAACATGCTTGTTAGGATGAGCTTATCTTGTGAAATTAGTTTGCAAAAATTGATAGGTTTTGCTGAAAAGCTTTCACAGTTAATGGAAAATAGAATTATTGGAATGCTGTTTCAGGGATATGATGTGACCGAAGGAAGTAAGATTGTGGAAATCTGTGTGTAGTATTTGTTTAAATGCTGGACTGAGAAGGACCAAGGAAGTTCTTGGCACTAAACAAGCTACTAACAACATCATTAAAAAAATTGTGGATGAGGGACTGTAAGAGGGAAGGGGCGAATGGCATTTCCCCCTTTTTTTTTTTTTTGTTTTTTTTTTTGGCCACTATTCCCTTTCCCAATGCAGTTCTGCTCACCAGCTCAGAAGCTGTCCATCATCCTCCAAGACAGACCTTCTCAGGGAACAACGGATACGTTGAAATGACTCCACCCGGAAGGACTGGCAGCAAGTTCTTATATTTATGACAATGAGGCAGAAGTGGTGGACTACACTCCAAGAACAGTCGATACTACCCTGGAAATCATGCGAATTTCAGGAAATAATAAATATTTGTTTGTGCCTACTGCAGAAGAAGCAGTGCAAGACACTTCTGTTCAGAGTAACCGCATTGAGTTTTTCTATCACGGGTGGGAAGTTTCGCAGTTATTAACTGAAGACTCAATAAGTATGTTTTCATCTTACTAGGGCAATCCAGAAATCTGCATATTTATGTGGGTTCTACTTTTCTTTTTCTTTTTACATTGCTGGAAAGAAATAATTATACCACTATTCCCAAAATCTAAGCAATGTAGATAGTAAAGTTACATAAACAGTATATGAGATTGTTCTTTTATGTTAATGGGAGAAAGGGTTTCTGTCTTTTTCTAACTTAAGCAGTTGGGCTGCACTGTTTCTCACAAGAAATCTTTGGCAATATTGATTTTATGGAGTTATAGAGATTGCAATATTTTTTCTCTGCATTCCGAAATTAATTCCTGCATTCTTCAGGGAGGATTATGCTATTTAAATTTTGCTGGGTGTTGTTTTTAATCCCTGAAGTTGTGTGATATCATTGGATTCAGCTTCAGGAAGGATTTCAAAAAGAAAATGTTTTGCTGAACTTGACCTCTGATTCCACTCCAGTTAATGAGAGAGTCTAAAGAATTCATGTTATAAAAGGTGTATAATATGGGAAGATTGGAAGATATATTTCTAGTCTGGTTCAAGCTGGTTGGAGGCTCAGTCATGCTGAGTGACAAGGGTAATAATATACCAGGTCCACTGCTCTTTCGGCAGCTATTTCTGTGAATCATGACAGGTTACCTAAAAGTGGATTATCTAATGTTCTGCCCTGGCATTGGTCAGAAGCAGCAGCTAGTGAAGAATGCAGCAGCAAGGATTGCTCAGGGGGGTCCTGACACCTGGGACAGATTGTGGCCTATTAGAAAGCTCCAGCAGTCAGGAGTGGTAATCTGGACGGACTGCTGAAATGCTCATTTATAGATCATCCATTATATACTCCATTATAGACATCACATTCTGAGGATGTGATTCTCCTCTAAGCATATCGTGAAGTCATCTGGTTGGGGGTGCAGAGTCTTTTCCATTCTACCTAGAATGCTCATCTGCGAATCAGGCAGAGAGAAACCGTGGGGGTGACTGAATACTACCTTTGGCTTCTCTGACTTAATATTTATACTAGCCGTGGTGGATTAATTTTACTGATGTGTATTTTTCACAGATTTATATTCTCTCGATTATTTTTATTGATGTAGACTACTTCTGCAAATGAAAGCGGGGTAGATATCCTTTAATGAAATGGAGAACATACAGTATTGTGTCAGTCTTAGAAAGGAAATTGTGGAGAAAAAAAAAACTTTCCCTTTACGTTGTTCCCGTAAATTTTGGATGCTTCTCTCCTCTGCTTCCTGTGGACCAGCGTCGTTCCACTGGCTGACTTTAGCAACAAGGAACCTGTCGTTCAGTCAGGAGAAGGGTTACCTTGACTGTTCAGTCCTGAGGAAATGGACGTGGGAAGGAGTCAGCTTACAAGGAACAACATGATAGAACTACAAGGTGTTGCAGATCAAGGAAGCGGCCTATGCAAGCATTCACCTGTGTGAATAAAAATACTGCTGGAGTAATTACAGATGCTAATACTGGTGCAGAATTCACGCAGATGATCGTCCAATGAGCTCTTCCGTCTCTGTAGTCATGACAGGTGAGAGAGTTTTCTTCTGCCATGCTGATGAGGAGACAAAATTGCAATGTTGGCAGGGGAGTGGGGGAACATGGAAATGTCAGCCTGGTTATTTACAAGGTGACAATTTTCTGATTGTACAGTGGTACTCAGGCTTGGTTGTCGAATGGTTGGTTCCCCAAAAAAATAGCTCCCAATGCTGAAAACCTGGAAGTAAATCTTTCGGTTCAAACGTTTTTCGAAAAGCCGACGTTGACGTGCCTTCCACTTGAGTGCAGGAGCCACGCCTTGCTTTCTGAACACATTTCGGGATATCGATGGACTTCCGGAACGGATTAAGTTCACGACAAGGTATGTATAAGAAGAAGTCAGCAATTACAAAATCTAAAATGTAATTGAACTTGCGACGCTCCACTCCTCATTAGTGGGAGAATGCGGCAGCTGTAGTTAACCAGACTCAAAAGGAGCTAGCGCGTTTTTACCGTTGCGCATCTGCAACGTGACGCAATCTCATCTGGAGCAACCGAACGGACATAAACTTGGGAAGCTAGACTGGAGATTTGCACACCGAACGTGACGGAACATGTAGAGTACAGGAACATGCGTCAGCTCTCACGCGAAATTGATGGTTGTAGGGAAATCACGGCTAGCAGAATAACACTGGGAGAGAGAGAGTTATAAACAGCAAGTGGAAGTTTCTTGGATGTACATTCTCTGCTCAGCCCCAAGGTGCAAGATGAGATTGCAGACATGAATTGTCAGAAAAAAAGAGAACAGTCAAGACACGGCGACCAGGCTCAACGATAAAACCAAAAGAGACACACAAGGAAATGGAGAAAAGGACAGAACTTAGGCTGGGTACAGATTTATACCTTCAAATCACATTTGAAGAACATTCCTTCCAAGAATTCAGGGCGCTGTAATTTGCTAAGGGTTTCCTCAGGTTTGTGACTCTGTGAGAGGGAAGGGAATAATTTGAGGCAGATTGTCCGGGATTTCTCAGTCAGGGACATGCAAGCCATGTTAATGGGACAGAGGAATGAAATGAGAATGAAATTAGGAAGTGGAGAAAGATTGCCAGCCTTGCCTCTTTTCCCGTGAAAAAGGCATTGGCTCAAGGACACTTTTTTCAAGCCCTCCCTCTGTTTCTCCTCCACTCACCACTTCTTGCTCTTTACGTGTCACAGAGCTGCCCCCAAAAAAACCTGTTTCCAAAAATAAGCACAAAGAGAAAGCGAGGACCACAAGCCAGCATGAGGACTGTTTCATCCTGTGCAAAATAGCTGCGCCTCCATCCGGTGTGCCGCTGTGTGTATTGTGCTTGATAACTGTAAATGAGTGTTTGTGTTTTTCAAAGATCTTTTGTCATCCCCCATTGACTTTAAAAAGCCCCAACTTCCCTATGTTCCCTATGGTAGGTGCTAACGTGCTCAGCATTTTATCAGTTACCCAATTTCTCTCAGCTTCCACATTTGCATTTGAGAGTGGCCATGACAGCTTCTGCAGAGCTGCTCAGTGCTGCAAGGCATGCTGGGAACTCTTCTTGAGGCCACGCTGGTGGTCAGCCCCGTTTGACACCAGTGGCGCATCCAGAATGCTCAGCAACGCCACTGTGTTTCTTCTCAGTGTGTTTGGAAAGAAGATTACTGTTGCAGATGCATCAGCTCAGTGTTGCTGCTGAAGCCGCTTCTTCTAAACTCAGACTTTGAAGCATGAAGCAAATTGGCCATCTCTTTGTCCTCCTGGGTAAGACCCTTTTCTTCTCCCCTCCAACCCCACTCTTTTCCTTCTTCTGGAGCCTCCTATCTACACTTCACTTCCCAGTTTCCACTGTCTGTGTTTACTCAAATCTTCTGCCTCTGTTCTCTGTGGAGCCAATATTGTGTAGTGGTTAAGAGGTGGACTCGTAACCTGGTGAATTGGGTTCGATTCCCTGCTCCTCCACATGCAGCTGCTGGGTGACTTGGGCTAGTCATACTTCTTTGAAGTCTCTCAGCCCCACTCACCTCACAGAGTGTTTGTTGTGGGGGAGGAAGGGAAAGGAGAATGCTAGCCGCTTTGAGACTCCTTCGGGTAGTGATAAAGCAGGATATCAAATCCAAACTCTTCTTCTTCTTCTTCTGTTTCCGGGTGGGTCTTTAGGGAGGGATGAGCATGTCCCAGGCAAATCATTCACAGCATCCACACGATGTTACTGGCATGGGAAAGTTGGCTGTTTTTAACCTTTACCTTTCCTGAAAAAAACCCCAAAATAAAATCATAACCTCCAGAAATGCACCAAATTAGGGGGTATTTGCTTTGGGAGAAAAAAAATGTTTATGAGGCTATTTAGGAGTCCAGATTATGAAACTTGAAATGATGCCAAAAACGTGTTTTATATCTATATCTATAATCTAAACATCACATTTTTCTCCTCTGTTCTCTTTCAGCCTCATTTTCGGCTCCTTCCTGGATGACGGCCCTTGCAGGTAATCCAGTTAATATAACTTCAAATACTGAGTGGTAGGGAGATACTGTCAGTGTGAACACATCATAAAATTTAGACGTGGATATATTGTTGTGGCTATTTGTTCCTTATTCTGTCCCTTATCTTGAAGTCCCAGACCTGAAGGGTGTGAATGGTGAGTCAAAGGGATCACCCACACTTCCCTTCATGCTCTGCTTTCTAAGCACAGGTCTGGGATTTCCAGGTCCAAATGGGTTTTGGGGGGGGGAGGGGAGAAGAGAGGAGAGAGAGATTTTCAAAATCTGATTTTGAGTTTAAGAGGCATTGGAATAAATGGTGGAGTGGGATGGGTTGGGACTGTCAATCCAAAGCAGTAATTGAAGTATTGTGGAAGGTTATAGGGATTCATGAATCATCTAATGCAATGGGGACATCCTAAGGGACTGGCCAAACTGTATTTTTATCGTATCTCCCTCTGTTTCTCAGATACTGTGACTGCACATCCATCAGGCCTTTGGCTGTCTCTTTCACCTCCACACAACACTTTTGCTCGAGGAGAATTGGCTTCATTAATATGCTCCCTCCCAGAAGGACAGAGGGCAACGGGGTTCTATTTCTATGCAAAGAGAGGAGGTGTACTAGTCATGTATGGACAACAGGCGGAAAATATCTTGGAGGTTTCCACAAAATACCTGGAAACAAACAAAACATTTGTCTGTGCTTACCTGGGGGAAAAGAGTTCAGGAGGACTCTTCCTGTCTTCGCTGAGTAACGAGGTTGTGCTGTCCATCACTGGTGAGAAACGTACTCTTTGTGACAGAATTGCATGCACGAAAGCTAAGCCATCTTGGGGATCGTGGTTCCTACTCTGCCCAAGCCGTTTTTTTCACATTGGTGGGGAAGGGGAGAAGGGAGGAGAGAGAGATTTTCAAAATCTGATTCTGAGTTTAAGAGGCATTGGAGTAAAGGATGGAATGGGCTAGTCAATCCCAAGCAGTAATCAAAGTTGAGCCATTTTGGTAGTTGTAACTGTGAGAGAGATCAAAGGAGCTCCGGCCAAGATCTCTCAGCATAGTCAGAAAACTGCCACAATCATAGTTCCTAGGGGAAGCCAACAGAGTACAATACTGAAGATTCAAGTCTGTCGTGAAGATGAGCTTTAATGTGATGTAGCAAAGGGGCAGGTTATTTTAAGCAGTTCTTCAGTCTTGGGGGGCACAGATATTGTTGCTGCTCTACAACTCCCATCATCCCCTGCCTGCTTGATGGCAGCTGTAGTTCAACAACATCTGGTGACCCAGTGTTGAAGAACTGTGTAAGCCTTTGCTTACGTGGCGGGAAACAACGCTTGAGGAATATTCTGGTCTTCACCAAGGTTGTCCTGTCGATCGCTGGTGAGGAACATTCTCTTTGTGAATGAATGATACACGCAAAGTCTAAACCTTCTGGGTGATTCTGCCCAAGCCATTCTGTTATTTTTAATTTGCCAGGTCCAAGGAAAACAAAGCAAGGTGCCTGAATACAGTCACAAAGTCACATCCTCCTGGTTCCTTAGGGAAGGCGAGAGAGCACAGGTGTTATAACATTGGTTTGTGTTTCTAATATAGCTGTATATTAAGGAGAGGTGCTGGAGGGATTGGTCTGGAAGTCACACGGTCTCAGATTATAGCCCTAATCTTATATATAGTGAATTCTCTGTCAAAGATTCTTAGACCCCCATCCAGAACACAAATCCCAACTGTTAGCTGAGAATAGGAACTAGTCTTATTCCATTTAAGTCTGTATCATTGCTATGCCCTGAATTCCTGGGAGACAGAAGTCCTTAAGAAGCTAGCCACAAAAACTTCTCTTCCTTTCTCTCTGCTCCTTCAACTTCCCTTTCAGACCTTCCTCGTGCTCCAGTTTTCTCTGTTTCTCCAAAGAAGGATGTCTATACAAGTGGGGAATCTGTGGAACTCAAGTGCTCATCTTCTGAAACCCGTAATTTATCAAGGACCCAGTTTTTCAGGGACCATCAGGATCTGCATTCAGTCAAGCCCTCCTCTCCCTCCTCTCTGAACAACGTCACACACACCCTACGCCTTGCTATTCAAGATGATGGAGATTACTCCTGCAGGTACCACATTGTGGAATCCGGGCGAGAGATCGCATCCAGAGAGAGCAACTCCATCAGGATTTCGGGTGAGGAGGTCTTTCTTTGCAATACAGATCTCTTGGAAGTTGAATTGGGAAGCTGGATTGAAACTGAGGAGTCTGGCTGGTCAAAGGAACAGGAGGGGAATTTTACTGATAGAATTTGAATATGTACAAAATTCAAATATCATCAGAAATTCTGTAGTCCTCCCAAAGTCCTATTTCCTTTTCTCATTAATCTGCTTGCTTATTGAGGGGGAGAGAGATTATAGGTCTACAACTCCCATCAGTTATCCACCAAGCAGTTTGATGGGTATTGCAGTCCAACAACATCTGGCAACCCATGGTTCAAACATGCTTGTTTAGGTGAGCTTATCTTGTGAAATTATGTTTGTCAAAAATTGATAGGTTTTGCTGAAAAGTTCCACCAGTTAATGGAATAGAATTATTGGAATGCTGTTCAGGTGATTATGATAGTGACCCCAAGGAAGTAGATTGTGGAAATCTGTGTGTAGCATTTGTTTAATGCAGGACTGAGAAGGACCAAGGCATTCTTGGCACTAAACAAGCATACCTTGAACCAACAACTCATTAAAAAAAATTGTGGATGAGGGACTACAAGAGGGAAGGGGCTGAATGGCATTTCCCCCTTGCACTTATTCCCTTTCCCCAATGCAGTTCTGCCTCCACCAGCTCCAGAGCTGTCCATCATCCCTCCAAGACAGACCTTTCTCCAGGGACAACGGATCACGTTGAAATGCTCCCACCCGGAAGGGCAGCTGGCAGCCAAGTTCTTCTTTTATGAAATGAAGGCAGAACGTGGGTGGACTAAACTCCAAGAACAGTTCGATAATACCCTGGAAATCACTGCAGAATTTCAGGAAATAAATAAATCATTTGTTTGTGCCTACATGGAAGAAAGCAGTGCAAGACAACTCTCTGTCCAGAGTAACCGCATTGAGTTTTCTATCACGGGTGAGGAAAGTTCTGCTAGTTCATTAACTGAAGACTCAATAAGTTGTTTTCATCTTACTAAGGGCAATCCAGAAAATCTGGCATATTTATGTGGGTTGCTACCTTTTTCTTTTTCTTTTTACTTGTGGAAAGAAATCATATACCACTTATTCCCAACAAAATCTAAGCAATGTAGATAGTAAAGTTAACAATAAAACACAGATAGAATTGTTTTTTATATTAATGAGGAGAAAGGGTTTCTGTCTGTTTCTAAACTTAAGCCAGTTGGCTGCCACTGTTTTCTCACAAGAAATCTTGGCAATATTGATTTTATGGAGGTTATAGAGATTGCCAAATATGTTTCTCTGCATTCCCGCAAAACTTAAATTCCCTGCATTCTTCAGGGAGGATCTATGCTATTTAAACTGGGTGTTGTTTTTTAATCCCCTGAAGGTTGTGTGATATCATTAGGATGTCCAGCTCTCTAGGAAGGATTTCAAAAGAAAATGTTTTTGCTGAACTTGACCTCCTGTTCCACTCCATTAATGAGAGTCCTAAAAGAATTCATGTCTATTAAAGGTGTTTAATCATGGAAGATTGGAAGATACTATTTCTAGTCTGGGTTCAAGCCTGGTTTTGGAGGCTCAGTCATCTGAGTGACAAGGGTAATAATATTACCAGGTCCACCTGCTCTTTCGCAGCCTATTCTCTGTGATCCATGCACAGGTAACCTAAAAAGTGGATTACTCTAATGTTCTGCCCTCGGCATTGGTTCAGAAGCAGCAGCTAGTGAAGAATGCAGCAGCAAGGATGCTCAGGGGGGTACCTGACACCTGGGACAATTGTGGCCTATAAAGCTCTCAGCAGCTCAGGAGCTGGTAATCTGACGGACTGCCTGACTTCTCCCATTTATAGACCATCCATTATAGACCTCCCATTTATAGACCATCCACATTCTGAGGATGTGATTCTCCTCTTAACCATATCGCCTGCAAAGCTCCATCTGGTTGGGGGCTGCAGAGATCCTTTTCCATTCCTACCTACCGAATGCTCTCCCTGCTGAGATCAGGCAGGCAGAAACCGTGGGGTGAACTGAATACCTACCCCTTTGGCCTTCTCTGACCTTAATATTATACTAGCCGTTGTGATTATTTTACTGATGATTATTTTTCACAGATTTATTCTCTCCGATTATTTGTTATTATGTAGACTACTTTCTGCAAATGAAAAGCGGGGTAGAAATCCTTTAATGAAATGGAAGGAAACATACAGTATGTGTCAGTCTTAGAAAGGAAATTGTGAGAAAACAGAAAACCTTTCCCTTTTACGTTGTTCCCTAAATCTTTGGATGCTTCTCTCCCTCTGCTTCCTGTGGAACCCAGCGTCCTTCCCACCTGCTGAACTTTTTCAGCAACCACAGGAACCTGTTTACAGTCCAGGAGAACGGGTTACCTTGACCTGTTCAGCTCCTGAGGAAATGGACGTGGCAGGAGTCAGCTTCTACAAGGAACAACATGATCAGAACTACAAGGTGTTGCCAGATCAAGGAAGCGGCCCCTATGCAGCATTCCCTGTGAATAAAAATACTGCTGGAGTATACAGATGCCTATACTGGGTGCAGAATTCACGACAGATGATCCAGTCCCCAATGAGCTCTTCCGTCTCTGTAGTCATGACAGGTGAGAGAGTTTCTTCTGCATGCTGATGGAGGAGATCCAAAAGATCTCAATGTCTGGCAGGGAGTGGGGAACATGGGAAATGTCAGCCTGGTTATTTTACAAGGTGACAATCGTTTCTGATTTACAGTGGTACCCTGGTTGTCGAATGGCTTGGTTCCCAAACAAATCAGCTCCCAAATGCTGAAAACCTGGAAGTAAATCTTTCGGTTTTCAAACGTTTTTCGAAAGCCGAACGTCTGACGTGGCTTCCACTTGAGTGCAGGAAGCCACGCCTTGCTTTCTGAACAATTTCGGGAATCGAATGGACTTCCGGAACGGATTAAGTTCACGAACCAAGGTACCACTGTATAAGAAGAAGTGCCTTAAAATCTCAAACTGTATTGAACTTGGACGCTCTCATCTCATTAGTGGGGAATGGGCAGCTGTAGTTACTCAGACAAGGAAGAGGTTTTTCCTCTGCGCATCCTGACGTGCAAACTGAACTCGGAAGACATAAATGTGGAAGCATGGTTTGCAGAGGGACATAGTTCAGAAGGCAGGAGCTAGGAAATACTGGATGGGGAACAGCTAGGAGAAGTAACACTGGGAGAGAGAGGGTTAACAGATTCACAGTCTCTGGACAGCATTCCTCTGCTCAGCCCAAGGTCAAGATGAGCTCAGAAAGTGTCAGAACAGAAAGCACAGAGGGCACAAGCTCAGATTACAAGACATAGGAGTGACGGAAGGAGGTGTGATCCTTATTTGGGAGCACCGCCATTTCCAGGAGAGATGTGTTGTTTGTTCTCTCTCTGTGATCATTAAAGTTTATAACTGGTAAGAAGACTCCTTTTCCTTTGTCCTGCTTATCTACTGCCACAGGGGGAGGAAGCTGATTCCCTGAAGCTTGACAGGAATTCTCTGTTAGAGATTCCAAGACCCCACCCAGAGCTACAGATCCCAAGGTTTACTGGAGGGGCTACAGTGGTACTTCGGGTTACAGACACTTCAGGTTACAGACTCCACTAACCCAGAAGTAGTACATCGGGTTAAGAACCTTACCTCAAGATGGGAACACAAATCGCGCGGCGGCAGCATGGCAGCAGCAGGAGGCCCCATTAGCTAAAGTGGTACCTCAGGTTAAGAACAGTTTCAGGTTAAGAATGGATCTCCAGAACAAATTAAGTTCTTAAACAGAGGTACCACTGTTTTGTTAAAATAATTAAACTGTAGGATGGTTATGCTCCAAATTCCTGAAACAGAGGTGTTTAACAAACAAAGATTGTTATTCCTTTCTCTGTGCTCCTTCTACTTCCTTCTCAGAACACCCTCGTCCCCCAGTCTTAACTGTTTCGCCAGAAAAGGATAGCTACAGAAGAGAGGAGTCCATAAAACTTAGATGTTCAGCTTATGAAAGCCGTGATGTATCAAAGATCCAGTTTTTCAAGGACAAGAGGCAACTGCAACTCATCAATGTCCCCTCCTCTCTGAACACCTTCACACACATACAACTGCTTCTTCCTCAAGATGGTGGAGATTACTCCTGCAAGTACCACATTGTGGTATCAGGGCGAGAGTTCCCATCCAGAGAGAGCAACTCCATCAGGATTTTGGTACTGGGTGAGGAGGCCTTTCTTTGCAATATGGGTCTCTTGGAGGGGGAAATGGGAAGGTGGACTGAGTTTGGGGGAGGTTGGGCGGGCGAGGAATAGGGCCAATAATTTTGTTAGTAGAATATGTACAGAATTCGAAGCTCACCCATAATTTCATAGTCCTTCCAAACTCCCCTTTTCTTCTATTATTTATCAGCTTGCTTGTTTCTAGTCTGCCTTGGAAATGCATTGCCCCTTCCAGACCAACATTGAAGGAAACAGGGTGCCTGCCCCAAGGAGCATACAAGGGATGTCATCACATGGGGATCCCTTCTGACCTTGGGATTCTCTTTTATTCTCTCTGCAGATGAACCACTTTCCACAATGCCTACCTTTTCCACCCCGGACCAGGCTGTTCTGAGTTTTGCCTCCACAACCAGGCCACCTAGAACGTCAACACTGGCAACTTCTTCAACCAGCTCTTCTCGCTACATCGCCAGAACACCCTCAACACGCACAAAGCTCCTTGCATCAAGCACCTCCTGGTCCAGCTCTTCGCAGATGAGTCTGCATTATAGCACCTCAACCAGCAGCACCAATGCTCAGGAGAGCAGGAAATCATCCTCCTGCTGTGATCCCAAATCAATCACAGACCAAAAGAAGGATGATTCAGAAAAAGGTACGGCCCTCTCATGAGACTGTTATTTTTAAGAAAGGGACCCTGTCTCTTTCTTTCATTCATTCATTGTTTTATATTTGTATAAAATTGTGATTTTATAGGTTATAAGCCACCCTGAGTGCTGCAGTTGCAGTAGAAGGGAGCAAAATAAATAAATAAGGGTTGCACTGTAAATAACCCACCTGATTCAGCTCAGCGCAGAATATTATTTTCACCCTACGAAAATAAATGGAAACAGTGCTACTGCTGCCTGATTTGTTTGCTTTTGTACCATTATTATTTTTGTCTGGTGGTATTGTTTTTATATCTGATAGTACTGTATTGTTACTTTATCATGCGTGGCTATGTTTTAAATGATAAAATAGGAATTTTATGATGTTGCCATGCTTCCGTTTGAGAGGGTCGACCTGAAAGGCAGCCTATACCTACAGAATGCGGATGGTTGGAAAGAATAATATTTAGAAAGGAACAATCAATGGACCTTCAGAGACCAGGGAGGGAAGAGGAAGGGTGGAAGTTAGAATGGCCAAAGAGGGGAATATGTGGAGCAGCAAAGTTAATAGATACTAGCCAAGTCTTTGTTTTGTAACAATTGACTAGTTCTCTGACCAATAACCCCATTCTGATCAACAGCAATTCTCTTGCAGGTTCATATCCTTTTCTTCTCCCACTGGCCATTGGATGTGGCACCGGCGGATGCCTCCTCCTCCTGGTGTTTGTTGTCTGCATTTATAGGAGGAAGCACAAAGGTATTTGGCAAGGCAGGGGAAGCTGAGCCTGGGGAGGTGGACATCCCAGGAAGAATGCAGATGTGGGTGGAAGTAACCCCTGGTAGAATCGTCACAGCCAGAATTATCACTACAGTGGTACCTCCAGTTACCTACGCTTCAGGTTACAGACTCTGCTAACCCAGAAATAGTGCTTCAGGTTAAGAACTTTGCTTCAGGATGAGAACAGAAATTGTGCTCCGGTGGCGCAGCAGCAGCGGGAGGCCCCATTAGCTAAAGTGGTGCTTCAGGTTAAGAACAGTTTCAGGTTAAGAACGGACCTCCGGAACAAATTAAGTACGTAACCAGAAGTACCACTGTAACTGCTTATGCAGAGCATGCCTTCTTCATTTTTTTTTTAATTTTGACAAAGTAATAATCATAAATAAATAAGAATGAAAATGTGCACACCACCACCGAGATCATTCCATTGCAACTATCCAACCTCCCAAAATTCCAACGCCTCTTGCGATGGTTTGACCCCTTTCCATTTTAACAGTACAAATTCTACAATCATTTCCCCAGCATGTTCTCCATCTTACCTTAATGGCACATGTTAATGTATCATTCATAGCTATATCCCACACCTCTTTATACCATTCTTCTATTTTATATCCTGCTTGCTCCTTCCACTTCCTAGCTAGAATAATTCGTGTAGCTGTCAATAAATTTGTGAGCAAGTCCTTCCTAGCCTGCGAACCTTCCACCCCATCGTAAATTGATAATAATGCTACCTCTGGACTTTCGGTCAGGTTTAACCCAGTGATTTCTGTTATCTCCTTAAATGCCCTTTGCCAGAAAAATTGTACATATTTACACCCCCACCACATGTGAACACAATTCCCGGTTTTCTGGCATCCCCTCCAACATAGCACCGAATATTCCTTGTTTATTCGATTTAATCTGACTGGTGTTAAATACCATCTCCAAACTTATTTATAATAATTTTCTTTTATTCTTATAGACACCATTTCCAATGTTTCTCCCATATTTCCCCCAGCTTTGACTGTTCATCTGCCCTGTTGTCTCTTTTCCCCACACCTCTTTTAAATATCTTGATCCTCCATTTCTACAATTTTTTAAAAAATTTCACTGGATTCCTCTATCTCCACTTTTTATAAAAAAATTTCAAATGTTGTATATTCTTTGCAGTTCTTGTTTTCCCTTAACCACTTCTTTGTCCGTTGCTCCGGTTGTATACAGTTAAACCAAGTTATTTTAATTCCTGTTAGAGCTTCTCCTATTTGTTCTTTGCTCCTGCCTTGTTCGTGTTTGTCCTCATGTCTTCAACAGCAGCCTGACACACCAAAAGCTGCATTTGCAGGAGAAGCTATTTCCATCAGTACTTTTTATGAGAAGAAACCTCGCCTGTTCCGTTTCTGTGTGTCAGGTTGCTGTTAGAAGCACAGCAGCAGGGTTATAAAAGGGAGCAGCCCCATCTATTTGTCCAGGACAGAGATCTGAAATTGTTTGCAATGCCCTCTCCTTGTGGCTACCATTGAAGACTATTCAAACCTGCTGTGGTTTCAAAGGATAGCAGCTTATAAAGAGCACATCCTGTCAGCCTTTGTAAGACCTTCTCAGACTCTCAGTTTGTTTCCAGACACGATTTGAAATGATGGCCTCTTGGCCTTCAGAGCCCTAAACGACAGTCATCCTTGAAATTTCACCCACTTCTCTGAGTGTTGCAGCACTGTTCCCCAGCCAAGCAATGTAAAGTGCAGCATTCTAGAGGATATTGCGCCTCACGTGCTCTAAATGTGGGAACTCTAGTGCCCTGTCTTTGTGTCTCCTTCTTCGCTTAAGAGTCACACGCACTCACAAACTTTTTTTTCTTTTCTCAGATAAGAGAGCGGTCACAGCAAGGTGAGTGAGTACGAAAACTTGGGGCAGCTGTCAGAAGCAGCTTCCTCCAAGCTATTAGACATGACGCTGCGGTTTGTGTGGCCTGATCATCGGAGGAGTTGGGGCTGCTGTGTGTTTAAAAACAGAAGCAGGGACATGCAGTCAGGAGTGACAAGAGCTGCAAGGGTGTGGCTGCTTTAAAAAAAGCCACCTCTTTTCAAGAAGATAAAAAGAGCTCTTTAGCACAAGGCAAAGGGGATCCATTTGGCCCAGCCTCCATTTTCCAACTGTAGCCAGCCAGATGCCTCTGGGAAGCCCACCAGAAGGCCATTCCTAATTCCTGCTCTCCTGGGTTTCAGAGGTAGAATCAAAGAATTCTAGAGTTGGAAGGGACCCTGAGGATAATCTAGTTCAGGCATCCTCAAACTCAGCCCGCCTGATGTTTTGGGACTACAACTCCCATGACCCCTAGCTAACAGGACCAGTGGTCAGGGATGGAAGGAATTGTAGTCCCAAAACATCTGGAGGGCTGAGTTTGGGGGTGCCTGATGTAGTCCAACCCCCTGCAATGCAGGAATATGCAGCTGCCCCATACGGAGATCAAACCTGCAACCTTGGCATCATCAGCACCACACTCTAACCAACTGAGCTATCCATACTGCCCCTGACCTTGGAGGTTACCATTTCGCTGCCATGATCCTTAACAACCGCTGATAAACCTCTCCTGTGACTTTGTATAAACAGCAGCCCCACATCCTGTGACAGCGAGACCCACAAGTCAGGCAATGTGCTAGGTGGAGAAGCCATTCCTTTAGTCTGCCCTCTTCTCCACAACTACGAAAGCCTTGTCCTGTGTCTCGCCTTGCCATCCCACGAGAGCTGACGCTTTTCTTTCCTGGTGGGCTTTTAACAGGGCAGAAATTCTTGTTGCTTATCAAGCTTCACGTGTTCAAATTCCCAGTAAAGATAAAGAAAGCCACCTGTTCTACTGTTACCTGTTTTGACTGACAGCAGGCTCTCAGGGGCCTTTCTCTCTTCTCCAGTCTTGTGTCCTGGATCTTTTTACCGGGAGATGCCGGGACTAGAACCTGGGACCTTTGCTGTGCAAGGCATGTGCTCTGTCACTAAGCCATGGTCTGTCCCCAAATGGATTTGCTTTGAGATAAGACAGTATATTAGTCCTCCCCGCCCCCAACATCCTCTTCATTTTCAGCTGCTTTTTGTGTGTTTAGTTGCTTCCTCTCCCCATTCCTTTCCAGCAGCTACTGGAAAACACTGGACATTCGGCAGTCCCTGAAAAGACGGTAGGAAGGAGCAGAGCGTTCCCCTCTAGCGTGCCTCTCTTATCTTCCATCATCTTGCAGGGGGGAGACCAAAATCTCAACTAGACTTGGGTAGACTTGGTGGGGGGACTGGAAAAATTGCAGGAACACCCAGCTTTTGCCCCTGTTTGTTTTTTGGATTTTAATGTTTGGGAAACAAATAGAGGGGGGGGTGTTATTTGTTTGTTTTTTTCCAGGCCTTCGCATCTCTAATCCCAAAACATTCAGCAAAGCTCAACATCAGTGGAGGGAGGGCACAGTTTCAAGCCTCTCCCCCCCCCCCAAGCAGGAACAATTAAATCATTTGCTGGAACGCCAGAATATTTGATTAAATAGGATGATTCTTTCCTTTTCTTTGACGGTGTTTGTCACTCAAAGCCAGGAGTTTGAATATAGTAACACTTCTTTGCAAGGTAGTTTTAATTCAAAGGCTGCATTTCAGCTCAGTCTGTTTTATAAGCTGAAACTACACACAGAACTATATAGTAATCCTTTTAAAAATCTGTGTGTTGTTGTTCTGTATGCGACACACACACACACACACACACACACACTCTAATAGGGTAAGAAAGTTGCCAACATTTCCGGACTCCTCTGTGGGTACAGTTGTGGCAGATGTCGTGATGGGCTTCAAAATGTAATAGTAGACCTCTGCTTAAAAGAGATACAGGCATGTTCTCCTAAATGTGCTTCATTCAGACCCACATAGCTATTTAAACAAACTTGTTCCCACAAGATACAGTAATGGCACCAGCACAGAAGGCTTCGAAAGATGTTCAGAAAAAATTATGGGGAACATGCCGCCAATGGCTTCAGATGCATTGGGGAGAGCATGGCTGTTGGCCACTGTGAGAACAGAATGCCAGACAGGATGAGTCTTTGGCTCAATCCAGCAAATTCCTTTGTGCTTGTTACAAATGTGGGAATGTTGTGGGGAGTCAGAGAGGATCTATTGATAAAATACGGTATTATCCTTCCTAACTCAGGCTAGTGAGTTATATATATATAGCAGAGCTCATTCCCCTTCTATACAGCAAGAAGCTAGTTGCAGATTCATTTGAATCTCTCTTTTTAAAAAACAATTTTTATTATTCATTAATAACATTCCAATTAATAACATATCAAATCTTGCCACATCATAACACAAATAATAAAGCCAATTATACATTCCGAATTAAATAATTTAAAGAGACTTCCCATGATCTGGCTGGTCAGGAGAAATTTTTAATTTCTTGTTCCCGCTTTCTCCCCTCTCTTGTTTGTTCCCAATATCATAATTCCGATCTTAATCTGTTATCTTGTCATCTCAGTCACTGGTATGAAACTTTCAATCGTATTTAACAAATCCATATGTATGTTAACATGCAAGAGAAATTTTATTCTTCCTGTTGTCATTCGTCAATTGTTTTTGGCGCAGTCCCCCCCGGAGGCCCCCTTTTCATTCCACACTGTTCTCGTTTGAATCTCTTTGCTTAAGCAATCCAATCTGGCATGCCCAGATTGGAGTATGTTCCTGGTAAGACCGCTTTGATTCCTTCCTAAAAGAGTGAAGACACAAGAGTCCTTCTTATAAGTAATGAAAAGTTGACTCACATTCAGTTCACAGTATGATCCCTGAAGGCAAGCTTCAGCTTGCAGTAACAGATACAGTGTGGCAGAGAGCCAGCAGTGCAGTCCAAGAGAAGAAATGGCATCAAAAGAGGAGGATGGCTGCATGTCTGGCCCTTTTACAGAGTCTCCCAGGGCCACGCACATCTACCTGGTCACATGCAAAGGAAGGATGCTCCAGACCAGGTGTGACAGGAAGTCTTCCTGGCTGGAGTAACATCCTCCTGTCTGTGTCCACTCTAGGAAAACAAGGAATGTTATACTTGACTGCTCCAATGGATTACGTCCCACAACAAATAGGTCGCCACTTTTGCACTAGCGCAGCTCCCGTGCTTTGAGCAGCAGTGCAGCGTAGAGAAATTAAGCAGGTTTTCCAATAACATACCTCCACAGTGGGGTAACCCAGGACAAAGTTTCCCCTGCTAAACTTTGCATGCCAGGCCGCTCCTGAAACCAAAAAGACAACTGTCTGTAAACTAACAATAAACGTCCCTAAAAATGGCAAAAAGTAGTTTCTTTCCCAGATAGGTGTTTTCTTAAACAACAGCAAACACCGTAAATAAGGAGTTCACTTGCAATATATCAGTGGTTCAGTGCTCATTTCTTTTCTTCCCAAAGTAGATTTTATCTTGAACTTTTGCAAACGCAGTAATAAAGAGTCCACTTGTGATATACCACAAGTGGTTCAGTGCTCAGACGTCATTCCGATAATCCGACGTTTCGTCACTAAAGAGTTTAGTCATCGGGCTTTGTAGTAAATAATATACAACAGAAGACAGTATGTGAATGACTTAAATCAGGGGTATATCTGTCCCCACCTGCATGTTTCCATCAGGAAAAGCATAGAAAGAGGACAACGTCCTTCAGTTTGTTCCTGAAGGCAGAGGAGCAGGGCCAGTTTTTAAGGTTGGCGGTCCCAGTAGCTCCCACCTCTTTCGGATTTCCTGCAGCTTCTACCCCCTGCTAAAACCTTTGTTCTGTCTTGCAGATGCAAAGACCCCACCGGAGTCTCTACAAGTAAGTAAGACATTAAACTTTCCATCCTTATTAGGGTTCCAGAGAAGGATCAAGGCTTTTTTTCTGACAGGTCCCCTGTGTCTTTAAGAGCCATGGGACAGGCAGACATTAAAGCGGTGAAGCATTTCCCGCAACTCTTCCATGTTGGGAGGAAACGCACCTGTTGAATTTCTGCCTGTCTTCCAGCTACTGAAGGAAAAGGTGGCACTCCTGCCACTATACCTGTGGCCCAGGATGCACCATGTGAATTGCAACTCCCCAATGAGGAACAGTTGCAGCATCTGGGACTTCTTAATATTCTTTTGTTATTTCTTTCTTTTTCTTTCTCTATTTATTTATTTCTCCCCCTCCCCTCGCTTTTCTGTGTTTCCATTGTACAGTGGTACCTCGGGTTAAGTACTTAATTCGTCCCGGAGGTCCGTACTTAACCTGAAACTGTTCTTAACCTGAAGCACCACTTTAGCTAATGGGGCCTCCTGCTGCCGCCGCGCTGCTGGAGCACGATTTCTGTTCTCATCCTGAAGCAAAGTTCTTAACCTGAAGTACTATTTCTGGGTTAGCGGAGTCTGTAACCTGAAGCGTCTGTAACCAGAAGCGTATGTAACCCGAGGTACCTCTGTATCTAGATAAAAGTTTTGATTTGGTTTAAAAAAGGGAAAGATATTAAGTTTTTTATTTTCCTCCATAAACCTTAATAACATTTATTTTTTAAAAAGAGGAAAACCCATTGTTTACTGCTGAGGAGGGCTTATCCACACCTTCTATTGTCCTGCTGCTCCCACACACACCAGGGAAAACTGCTCTTTAGTGCTTAATAGGAGCAAACAGCAATTCAGGTTTTCTCTGGATTGACGTTTGCTCTGATTTAGAGCGGAAGAGAGGGTTTTCCCTGGGAAAGGAGCAAAAAAAGGGGGAAAGCACTCAGACACGTGCCTCGAAAGCGTGGGTGAAGCAGAAAACTGCTCAAAAAAATCACCTTCACTTTGCGAAAAGGAGCTCTGCCTACAGGCCAACCAAGGACTTGCAGGTAAAAGGAAGTTGCGTTGGGTTAAAGATGGGAGGAAGTAGGTGTTAACCACGTTGGTTTTAATGCTCAGATCTCAAAGAAAGGAACATGCCTGGCTGGATGCAGCCAGCAAGCGAAGACTGGGGGATCCTGCCAAAAGCCAAAAGCCCCATGCCAAAAGCCAGGCATCCATTAGAAATGAGGAAAGCAGATGAAGACACCGATTCTGGAGCCAATTTTGAATTCCCCGTAAGTTTCAAATCCACTTCTTCTTCTCTGGCAATCACTCATAGCCGAGTAAGATTGTCTTCCATAAACACGGTTTTAACAATGAGTCTGTATATGACTATGGAGGCCAATTCTGGACCCACACGTCCTTTCACAGTGGGGTCATTGGTTCCTGGACAGGAGTTGATCATGGTGTGGATTTGCCAAGCGTGCCTTCCTCTTAGCACATTTCTCCCTTGTGTCCTGAGTTCGAGTGTCTTCAAAGTCCATGACATCTTTGGTAAAGGCTGTTCTCCAACTGGAGCGCTCGCAGGCCAGTGTTTCCCAGTTGTCAGTGTTTATACTACATTTTTTTAGATTTGCCTTGGGACAATCTTTAAACCTCTTTTGTTGACAATCTTTAAACCTCTTCTGTTGACCACCAGCATTATGCTTTCCATTTTTAAGTTTGGAATAGTGCAGTCGCTTTGGAAGACGATAATCAGGCATCCGCACAACATGACCAGTCCAGTGAAGTTGATGTTGAAGAATCATTGCTTCAACACTCACTCGCTGAATCATCACCTTGTCGTGGTGAGTGGGCTTGCACGTTCCTATGACCCTTTTCCTATGACCCTTGTAAGCGAAGCCATCAGGAATCTCATACTCCCAGCAGGGTCAGCCAAGGCAGTAAGGTCAAAGGGAAGGAGCTAGACAAAGAATGATCCCAGAAGTTCAAATCCACTATGCACACTCTGTCTCCATGGGCTTTTCATCCTTCTCCCTTATAGCTCTTTCCTTGCATTTCCAGACTGGCTGGCGCAATCCGATCAGATGGGCAGTTTACTATTGTTGTTGTTGTTTATTTCCAGGAAATTGATGCAACGTACTCGCTTCTTAGCTTCCCCTGCTCCACATTCTTCCTGGAAGAAAACGACAGACCCTCGGAGGAGCCAGTCCCATCCCAGATTCCACCTAGGTTGCTATCTCAAGTTACTGGACCTCAGTGAGGAGAATCCCCATTTTACAGACAAAGGACTCTGACTTCCGTTCGTTTTTAAAAATAATTTTATAAGTTGTGTGTCCTTGTTGCTCAGCTTGACCCTTTTACATGATTTTGTACGTTTTGTGGTATTTGTGCATTGTGATCTGCTGTTATTTTATTGATTATAGATTAGTAATTCCTTATTGTAATTGATAAGTGTGAACTGCTAGATTATTATTTGCTGATGTTTAATTTTACTGCTTAGTATTGGATCCTAATAGATTGTTGAGTATTGCTTTATTTGATATAGGTTGTTTATTTTAAAGGTATTGTGGCTTTTTATATAGGATCTGATTGTTACTATTAATTTTTTGATGTTTTATTATTATTTTTATGTGTGTTGGAAGCCGCCCAGAGTGGCTGTGGCAACCCAGCTGGATGGGTGGGGTATAAATAATAAATTTATTATTATATTATTACCAGCACCTGTTCTTGTCTATGGGGCTTGAATGGTGGACTGTGCCCCTTTTTAATTATTCTGCCTTAAAACCAAAATGCCTTGGATTATGGGTCCAGATGGGATCAGATTAGGGAATGAGGAACATTGTCAGGACTTGGGTAACCAATCCGACAGTGTGCCGGTATTTGTGCCTTCCATATGCTCTGTAGGTAGTCTATGACACATAAGCCCATAAAACTAAAATAAGCGAACTGTTTTTCTTACATGTTCTACTTTTGAAAGAATCTGGGAGTCCCACCCCCCACCCCATTGCAATTATTAAATCTGCACATACAGAAGGAATGGGATGTATAAAAACTGACCCTTCTCCTGTCATCATTTCTCATGTCAGTGTGATGCTTAAAATGTGTTGTCAGCCTTCTTCCTTCCCCCCACCCCTCCCCCTCCCAATACAGTCGTACCTCAGAAGTCAAACAGAATCCATTCGGGAAGTCCATTTGACTTCCAAAACGTTCGGAAACCAAAGCGGGCTTCTGATTGGCTGCAAAAAGTCCTGCGGCCAATTGGAAGCTGTGGATGTTCAGCTTCCGAAAATCGTTCGAAATCCGAAACACTCACTTCCGGGTTTCGATCGTTCAGGAGCCGATTTGTTTGGGAACCAAGGTGTTTGAGATCCAAGGTACGACTGTACCTGTTTGGGCAATCTTTGTCCATAGAAAAGCCAGCTTGTGATTTAATGAACACCATCGTCAGTAAAACAAAAGGCATTCTGTGAGCTTCTTCAGCCCTCCGGCTGCCCCTTCGCAAAATCAAATCAGCTACGAGCAGCACAGTTCACCTGCGACAACCCTTGAAGTTATTCACTGGCGCTCCCTGGCCGTGCCTCCAATCGCTCACTTTGGAGTTTGCTCCCGCTGGCCGACAACTCATAGCGCATGAGCCACATGGTCCAGAGTCCAGGCAGACAAAAACAACCCAGATTCCCCCTTCGCAGCTGAGCTACTGGCAAGAGGGCCTCTATTCCCTACAGATCCACACAACGCCCTCCTTGGACAAAATGGAGTACATAAACGCCCTGGTGCCATCGACATTGTTAAAGTGAGTACTGATTTATTTATCTGTCCTACCTTCCTTCTCCAAGGAGCTCAAGTCGGGGTGTACATGGTTCCCTCCCTTCTCATTTAATCCCCACGAAAACAACCCTGCGAAGTAGGTTAGTCTGAGAGTCCAACACTCTTAACCGCCACAGGCCATTGGCATACCCTCCAACATTTCTCTGATGAAAATATGGTTGTCCAATTCAATAATAATAGTAGTAATAATAATAATAGTAATAATAATAATAATAATTGTATTATTTATACCCCACCCATCTGACTGGGTTGCCCCAGCCACTCTGGGCAGTTTCCAACATATATAAAAAATAAGAAACCATTAAACTTTTTTTTAAAAACCTTCCCTGTACGGGGCTGCCTTCAGATGTCTTCTAAAGGTTGTATGGTTACTTATCTCCTTGGCTCAGGGGTCCCATAACTCCAGACCCTCCAGCATTTCTCCATGAAAATAGGGACGTCCTAAGAAAAAGCGGGGCACTCTGGGATCAAATAAAAAACCAGGGCAGCTTCTGTAAATCCGAGATTGTCCCTAGAAAAGAGGGACACTTGGAAAGGATGCATTGGGGGAGGGGGGCCCTGGATGGAGGCTTCTGAGTTTATACCTCGGGCATGCAGTGCTTCCTACTATCCTTTCCCCCTTCCTTACAATCCTTTAGCCAAACCCGTCTGCTGAGGTCTGAAGGATCTTCCGCCTTCTAACAGCAAGCTCAGCTTGTGAGAGCAGATATAGCCAATATGGGGCCAATGGGAAACATGTGGGGGGAGATTGGAATGCTTGGGGGAACCATTGTGGGGATTTGAACGCCGCCCGCGCTGGTATGCTTTTGGAACTGCCTTAGGAGTTGGCAGGAGCTGGATGGAAGCAACAGGAGCTCACACCCGTCAGCGGGGCGATTCGACTGCCAGGCCTTATGATCAGCAAGCCCAAGAGGCTCGGTGGCCTTAAGCGGCACCTATAGATGAACACATCGATTGTCAGAGGGTTGGACTAAAATGACTCTCTTGGACTCGCTTCCAACTCTACAATTTATGAAAATGCAGGTTCCCACTGAGGACTCAGCAGGCTCAGTGGCCCCCAAACCCTGACTGGGAAGGAGCAGAAAATTAGAGGTGAGGGAGGAAGAGGGAGGAAATGAATAAAGACCATGCCATGCTGCAACATTTTGCTGGGTCTCCCATTAAACCCAACAAAACAACGGTGTTGTCCACAGAACATGGATGAGCAAAATTCCCTGATTCCCGGTCTTTTATCTGACGTTCCGCCCAAGAAATAAGGGGTTTTGCTTTATTTAAAGAGCTAGCTGTCCTGTGGGCTGGCCTCAGAGCCCAAATCCGCTAGCACCTCCTTCGCCTCTTCCTCCTCCTGGAATTTGGACTTTGGCATCAAAATTCCAGGGACCAGAAGAGACCGTGATAAGCATTTCCACGTAGACCTAATAAATTGCGTCTTTTCGTGTACTCTGGTTGCAAGCTGCACAAGGGGCCAATAACAGCTGGATAGCTCAGCTGATTAGAGCGTGGCGCTGATAATGCCAAGGTTATAGGTTTGATCCCTCTGTATGGGGCAGCTGCATATTCCTGCAAGATGATTCTCAGGGTCCCTTCCAACTTTACAATTCTACAGTTCTATAACCCTATGGATTAAAGAGTTTGAATGCAGTAGATAGAGGCAGGGTACACAGAGGGCCCTCCAGACCAGTGTCATTGATGCAATCATAGTGCATAAGCACTGCCTTTCTCCTGGATCAGTCCACTTTACAAAGTATTATTTCACAGAATCATAGACCAGATTTCAGAAGAAAGTTACAGGGCATGCAACCAGTTAGAAAAAAAGCAGGCAGAGTACTTTCCCCAAAAAAAACAACAACACCCAGAGTCCTTTTCGTTGGGGATAATTCAGATGGAAATTCCCAGGTGTCAAAAAAAGTTATTTATGTATACCACTACTGCGGCCCATGTTTTGTTAGCCCCAAAATGGAAAACGAGCAAGGTCCCAACTAAAGAAGAATAGCAACTTCAACTGATGGTATATACGCAGCTTGAGGACCTAATATATATAGGGTGAGTCTTTTAAAAGAGGCCCCGTGGAACATGTGTACTCTGTATCCACGGTGCCTCTTTTAAAGGACTCACCCTGTAGAATAAGAGGACAAGAAGAACATACGTTTAAAGAAGACTGGAAAATCCTTATTGATATATAGGGGGGAATTGTGCACACTTGAAAAATCTGGCAGCATTAAGATAATTTCAACAGTGTAAACAAGTTTTGATGGATGTAATAATGGATTACTGAATAGTTTCGTTTATGTAAAATATGCAGGGATTTATGATATGTAAAATAGACCATGGAAGGACAAGAAGGGAAGTATTGACATTTTAAGGTTGTTTAAATGGATATTCTAAATTGTAAAACAGAAAATTTAATAAAAATGATACAGTGGTACCTCGACTTAAGTACTTACTTTGTTCTGGAGGTCCGTTATTAACCTGAAACTGTCCTTAACCTGAGGTACCACTTTAGCTAATGGGGCCTCCCACTGCCGCTGTGCCGCCGACGCACAATTTCTGTTCTCATCCTGAAGCAAAGTTCTTAACCCGAAGTACTACTTCCGGGTTAACGGAGTCTGTAATCCAAAGTGTTTGTAACCCAAGGTGTTTGTAACGCAAGGTACCACTGTACACACACCCAAAAAAGTAAGAAAACAGGCAGAAACAGCATTTGCAGGCAGAAACAGCATTGGGTCGTGTATAACCGTCCTGATAACATCATGAGTGCAAATCATCACAACCGAAAGGGCACCTGGACGAACCCAGATCATTACCAAAAGTTCAGTTTCTCTGTTAGGGTGCTGATGTTCCCCCTGGACACTTTGCACATGCTCAGAGGCACGCTATGGCAGCCAGGTCGGGACCTTCTGAGCAACCTCTCTCTCTTTCTCACAGGTCAGTGTCGAGTGCGAGTTCAGAACTCACCCGGCGTGTCTGGGCTCCGAGTCCCCCAACCCAGAGGCCATTCCGGGTCTGTGACCACAAGCGCAACGTCCGCAAAGGTCTGACTGCAGGGACCTTGCAGGAACTGTTGATCAAGGTGAGCACCCCTTCCCTCCCGCCAATTTTCCAGCCTCCACTTGGCTCCACACTTGGCTGGCAAGCCCTTGGGTAAAGCTACTCCTCTTCACCCTCCCTTTTATCATCTGCGAAATGGAAGCAGTGGCCGTGCTTTGCTTGACATGAAGATCTCTGCTTGTGTGTTTTCTTGTTTCGCCAGGCAAGGGAGACCCTGCTGATCTCCAGCATCATTTCCTTGGTGCTGGAAGAAGATGGCACCGTTGTGGAAACAGAGGAATTCTTTGACGTCCTAGACGATAACACAGCCTTGATGGCACTGGAGAAAGGGCAGAAATGGAGCCACGCCAGGGTAAGCAAAAGGGTGTTGAATGGAAGGCCAGCGGAAAATTACAGGCTTCCTTTCCATAAGAATTCTAAGGCTTCATAAATAAAATGAATGTTCCTAAGTGCACAAGATAAATACATATAGGTAAGTACTGCATGTCTGAAAGAGTACAGGAGAGCAATCCTGAAGCCACTTTGACTCTTAATAATAATTTTATTCATTCATTCATTCATTCCCCTCCCATCTGGCTGAGTTTCCCCAGCCACTCTGGGCGGCTCCCAACAAAAGCATGATGAAACATCAAACATTCAAAACTTCCCTGAACAGGGCTGCCTTCAGATGTCTTCTAAAAGCCAGGTAGTTGTTTATTTCCTTGACATCTGATGGGAGGGCGTTCCACAGGGTGGGCGCCTGCAGGGAGGGAACCGCCAGA